TAAATGTTTTTCTACAAAAAAGTTGCACGTCAAGAGAAAAATCCTAATAGCTTTCGTCTCATTGCGAGTCTTACCAATCGCGAAAAAAATAAACATAAAAAGAACGCCCAAAATATTTCAAAAAAAGAAAAAGTTAATTACTATGTATAACTTCGAAAATATTTCAAAAAGTGGTCAAATTCATTTCGTATTTACGAAAAAATTAGTGCCCCTAATATTCTCACATAGTGTACATAGATATGTATGTATATGTACATATCGTCGATGTTTTTGCAAAACCGCCCATCGACCAATTGCAAAACCGCCTATCTTGCGGCTCTCAAATTTTACAGGAGAGCGATTCGTTTGCGAGAGTCTTGTCGAACTAAATCTCGAATTTTATTTGCTTGCGATCAGTGTTGCCAAACATCGGCTTTTCCTACCAAAACTGGTAGGTTTTTTTCCATTTGGTAGGTTGGTAGGCTTGATTGGATTTTGGTAGGTTTCGGGACTACGAGTAATAGTTATTTGAGAAAAATAGAAAATATGTATCTCTAAAATATTTCAGCGGTGCGTTCGTATAACGGCGGCCGCAAACATGATTCCTCAGTACAAACGTATACCCTTATTATTGACAATATACAATATGAACATCCATATATACTTTATGGCGTACTTGGACCAAGATTCCAGGAAAGTCTGCCAATGGGCTTGTACCCAACCATATTCTGGGCGGAGGTCTTCGCAATAGAATTATGTGTTCGCGAATTTTATCGTAGAAGGCAAATGAGGCCAGAATAAATATTATGTCAGATATTCAGGCAGCGTTAGAAGCCTTAGAGTCTTAAAACGGCATCAAGGCTTGTGAACTCTTGAGCCACCTGGTAGCCCACAATAGCGTACCGCTGTGGAGGGTTCAGGGACATGAAGGGTTTGAAGGCAACGAAAGGGCTGACTGTCTTGCAAAGAGTGGAGCCCAAATGCGTTTGCATAGTTCCGAACCTTTGTGCGATACACTGCAGACCTACTTAGGAGCTAGCTGGGAATTTCTGCACACTGGCGGAAGTCGAAGCGAATAAGACAATCAAAGAGATTCATAACTTTTCAGGAGGAACTCCGAAAGATACCTTGAACTTAAAACTTTTACTGGCTACCTGACAGCACACTGCAAGTTAACGTACCGATTGAATTAAAGGGTCTTTCTCTAGAGACTGGCTGTAGGTTTTGTGGGCCGGTGAAGGAAATCCCAGAGTATATTCAATGTGCCTGCCCACGAAGCAAGAATAGTAGATTGATGCACCTTGGGGAAGGATTGTCTTCTCCATCTAAAATTTGGAACATGGCATCATCCAAAGTGCTGAACATTTTAAGTAGCCTAATATTGGAGCGATTACAATTAGGATTTAGCACAATATATCTTCTTAAGTCGCAACGCGGGTATCTCCGACGTAATAATAATAACATAGTTACTTGACACGAATAAAGACGCTAGGGTCTTTTGACGGCGAAAAAGGATGCGTGAAAAAAAATTTGCGAAAAAAGACGCGTAAACATGGATTCAACATCATTCCGGAAAAACTCTTTGGAGAATTCGTTTACTCGCAAACATAGTTGACCGCGAAAATAAGTCTTCTTCGTCTTTCTTCCCCGACAAAGGGGTTAACGCGTCTTTCTTTGCCCTCGCCTATGTTAAGAGTTCTCCTTCGCCGAAATTTTTTTTCGCTGTCAACTTTTGAGCTCGCGTGTTTATTCGTATCTAATGACGATATGTATGTATGTACAGTAAAATAAATCGTTTTTTTTTTTTTTATTGTACTAGCTGTGTTTTAGTTTTACTAAATGTTATGTTAGCTATGTTTTTAATAAATTTGACATTGAAAAAGATATTAAAACTGAAAAAAATGTTTGGTAGGTCTTGGTTGGTTATGGTAGGAAAGTTTGGTTGGAAAAAAAATGTGTATGTGGCACGCTGCTTGCGATATCAATTGCGAGCATTTATCATCACTTTTTCACTTTTTGGAAAAAAACACAGAATTACACATACATGAAGGCTTTGACCTTTTAAAAAAGTTGTATTTGCTTCGTCTGCAAAACATTAAAAATTTTAGTTGGGGCCTTTCTACAGTTCAACCATACAAGCATATGTATTTTTATGCCCGCTGAATCATCCACCGAACAGCTTGGACCCATGCCAGTGAGGATGCGAAGTTGTTTATTTTCGTTTGAAATATGTACTTTTATACAAGATCTTTTTTGTATCATACTTTTATATGTGTAGATATGTACATTAGGGTGGCCCAAAAATACATAAGATAATCAAATATCCTATCCTATCTCAAAAAGCTTTCCAAGAGCGCCCTATTCCAAGAGTTGTGTTGAAAAACACCCTATCTCAAAATTTGGTTGAAGAACAACCTATGTTACTTCAAAATGTATTAAAAATGTGCTGAAATAGGGCGTTATTGAATCGGCAGCTGAGATAGGGCGTTTTTGAAACGAATTCTGAAGTAGGACGATCTTCCATTCAGCCTGCGATATACATACATAGATGTGGACATTCAAATACGTGCGTGCTAAATTTTGGTATGAAAGTATTATTTTTAAATACCAACATTTTTAAACGAAAATCAAATAAAAAGTATTCACTTTTACTATGCATTATTTCCCTCAGTGTAGTGACGACTCTCTACCCGCTTTCATAAGATCATCTGCGCACATTATTTAAGTTCGTAAGAACTTCATGTGGCAACCCTTTTTAAAAATTTGTTAGTCCAAAGCTTATGCGTACACCTTTCGTGTGATACCCATATTGTGGTATTAAATAAACTTAAGTTTGTATTAAGCATCGCTCTATTTTTTAGAAATGTGGCAACCCAGTTCAAAAATATTTTTAAATATCTTCACTCGCTTTTAGTTTTGATGAAGAAACTTAAATATTTTATTGAGCCTTTAAATAATTTTACATTTTCAAATATCTGGCCAGCCTATTTTTCAAAAGTTTTACCACGTACCTACAGAAATAATCGAGAAGAATGCAAACAAAAAATAGACACATCCATTGAGCTGGTTGTGCGTGATGTGGTTATGAAAACATAAAATAATAAGCATCATAGTGTTATTTTATGAAGACTTCTGAAGGGAAATAGTATTATTCCAAAATACATAATCGATTTCAAAATAAAAAGAAATACGTGTACCCTTATTTTTGATATTCTTCCAATCTGTGGGGTGGCTGGACGAAAAAAAATTTGGGCCACCCTAATGTACATACACACGTTTGCTTGCACAAACATATGTACGCTACATACATTAGGATGGTCACAGTTTTCTTTCTTCCAACCACCCCCAGCATTGAAGAATATCGAAAGTAAGGAGAGCCGTTTATTTTTCATTTTGAAATTCGTTAAGTATTCAACCGTGCCGCCGCACACTGGGGCCAAGCCGGCTCAAAACTCAATTTTTAAGAACTGGGGTTTATTCCCCATTGAATTCTACATTTGGGGGTAAGTTTTCAGCTTTCTATCGTTTTTAGACTGGAAGATATGCGTGTCTAAACTTGACAAATTTGAACAATAGTTTTTTCAAAGCTTAGAAATTAAAATGTGAAATTCAAATTGTTACTGTAAGAAGGCGGTATTATATTTCGTTATTTTGTCTTTACCATTACTTTTAGTGTATTTTTTTTTTTGAATTATGTGTTTTAAAAAAATTATGTTCAAAAAAACTGAACTAACCTCTATTTTTGCAAGTGTACTTTAAAAAATTTTTTTTTTTTTAATGAGCAAAGCGCGTTTTAAATTCGGCAGCACTGCAATAAAATATGTTCCTTATTAAGAATTCGAGTTCAAAACCAAAAGCACTTCGAGCATTTTTAAATAAATTGGTTTTAAAAATTTCACTTTGATTTTAAATATACTTGTGGTTATGTTTAATTTTGTTTCGTTTCGAACTTAAACTGTTTATTATCTTAAGGCTGCTCAATGATTAAAAAGCGGATTTAGTTCGAACAAGGACTTTAGAAACTTTAGAGAGATCTATATTTAGTAGGAAAACGAGTCGCACCGAAAATTTAGAAAACGGTTTCAATAGATTGTTAGTTTCATCAGATCCTCTGATACCTGCTCGCGCTTGTTACCAGTGGTCACAAACCGGAGATCTTTCTTTGGCGAAGCAATGGAGTTAGTAGAACTTGAAGCGAATAATATTAGTTTAACGGGGCTTGGATGGGATTGCGACTGTGAGGGATAAGTGTTACAGTTTTCATTACATAATGCTTATCATAACTATAAGACACCCACATATTGACAAGTTTTTACTATCTTTTACTATTATTTAATTTTAATTATTATTTTTTTATAAAAAATATGGTTTATTCCTTATCAAAAACCGAATAAATCTAAGTTTCAAACTTCGTAAAAATATCGACGTTTTCAATTAGATATTTAGAAAAGATTTTGAGTGCGTATTTTTGTAGCCCATTCA